TGTAACACCCATCACACAGCTTCACAGGTGGCTGCCACCGGCCCTGACTGGTCTCTCTGGGACAGCGCTGGCCCTTGCCAGCCCCAACCCCACTGTTTGGGGTTCGGCAGGGGTGGCTCGGGGTTTGGCTCGCAGGGCGAGGAAGGGCTAGAAGGGAGAGGAGGCTCTGAGAAGCAAACCGATAGCTCAGGCAGATTCCTCCATCCAGAACTGCTGGGAGAGGGTGGGAGTGAAAAAAGCTCTCGGGCTCAGTTAGTGACTCTCCCCCTCTTTCTAAGCACCCTTCTGAACTCAATTCCTCTGCCCACCAGCCCAAACGCACTCGCTTCTGCTTGAACTCAGAGGGGCTTTTGTCTGGATGACTCCTTGTACCACGTTCCCGTTACACCTCTCCTGCAGGAGCCTCTTGCGCTAAGAAACCCTCACCAAAAGGACCCCCCCTTTCCTCCCCGCACCCCCTGGCATGCCGGGGGCCAGCACAGCGACACCAGGAACCACGGCGCAGAGCCCGTGGCCTCGAGGGGCTGCGATCAGCATCCCTGACCTGCATCCACATGGCTCCTCCAGCCCGGACAGCCTGCACCCCCCTTTGCTGCTCCTGGGGAGCATCTTCACTGAGATGCTGAAGCCATCCCATCTGTTGATCCTGGGGCTGGGTGGAGAAGGGAATAGCACAAGCCTTTGGTCCTCTCCCTGCCCAGACCAAGAGACACCGGTGGGAGCCGCTATGTCGTAAGGACCAGAGGGCCGTTCCTTCCCCAGATCCAACCCCAGCCTGGGTGTCTGCTAGAGAACTGGCACCTTGCTCAGCAGCTGTCTGCCAAACCCTGCGGCGAATCAGGTCGCCTTGCCTTGAGTGGGGGTGAGACTTCCAACCCAAATGATTCAGGGAACAATCCTCTCTCTGTGAACAGCCACGGCAGAGCCTTCTCCTCATCTTCTGCCTTCCTTCTCCAGCTGGTGTTTCCCACCCCTTTCCCTGGCTCATCTGGGGAAGAAGCCCCGGGGCAGTCATCCCCAGCAGCGCTGCAGTGGTGAGGAAGCTGGCAGCAGCAGTACTGCTGTTCAGTGCTTGCTTTCGGACACCGTACAGTATGTGACGGGGTTGATGGTTAAACAAAAGTTTACGCTGCTTAAAAAAAAATATTAGAGTTGATCAGGGCTTTATCCCTGCAGAATAAACTGATCCAGCCCTGTAAGGGTATTCTGAGACAAGCGCTTACTTTTAGAGCAGAGATGTGGTTTTCTTTGTAAAAACGTCTCCTGGCGTTGCCAGTCCCAGAGCAAAAGCCTCCTGTGTACTGTCAAGGTGGCCTGTGGTGCCTTGTCCAGGCCCCCGGCCCAAACTCTGCCGAGTGGGGCTTCGAGGTAGATACCCGCTGCGGCTCTCCAGAGGGGTCCACCAACCCTACAAAGAGCATCAACTCCTGGGGAGGGCCGAGCCTTCTCATCTCGGTCTGCTCTTGGCTCAGCAAATCCAACCCTGCTTTAGCCTATTTCTACCCCCCCAAGCACTCGCACTTTGCCCAGCAGCCGTCCAGTACAACCCAGTGATGCCCGCCTTGGGTCAGAGCAGAGTCACAGCCACAGCCTGGGCATGCTGACCACAGCTGGTGGGTGGTCACCTGGACAGGGGAGAGCCCCTTCCCCACCCTCGGAGCCAGCACCCGCGTGGGTGCCTGCAATGCTGTTGCCCCCCCGTGACACGACACGGTACTACAGACCAGTTGCCCATTCGCAGTCCCCAGTTCGAGCTTTTTTCCACTTAGTAACCAGCGTGGGGAAGGCTGGGAGAGGTGAGAGCAGAGCGAGACCGTGCGCTGATATCCTGAGACAATCCCTCCCGCAAAACCCCTGAGAAAAGAGATAAAATGGAAGCTTGCCTTTGCTACAGCACCTATTTTAAAAATTTCCCTTCTCTGTGCTATCACAGACTTTCCCAGGGTTTGATCATCTACCGTAAAGCTGAAAAATGCTCTTTATTTAAAGTCTGCCGGCCTCGTCGCTGAATTTGGTTTGCAAGGTGAAACGCCTTATCTGGAAGATGAGAATAAATTACAAGCAGCATGGCTTTTTGGACAAGCAAAAGCCCTCTCCAGTCTGTTAGAGTTCTTGGAGGGTGTGGGTGAAGTAGTGAATAAAAGCTGATGTACTGTTTTCTTTCCTAGGTCCTCTGAAAAAAGTCGTGCGGGAGACACAACCAAACCAGACAACTAGCCTGGAGGAGAGTGACATGTCAATAATGTGGCTGATTAAGAGGAAAGTAACAATTAATAGTTCATTTTCGTCGTGGCAAAAAGGCTCCATCTGGTGGTGTTTTCACCCAGAAAAGAAGGTAAGGTGGTATTTTCACCCAGAAAAGAAGGGAAGGTGTGGGGAGGGGACGCTGCAGATGATCCTACATTGTTAGGCTGGCTCACACCAGAGAAGAGCCTTGAGGAAATCTCCAGATCTGCTCAAGACAGGGTGGGCCGATGGTAAATGAAGTTGTGTGTGGATAAATGGCAAGGAAATACGCTTTCTGAGGGGACAAATGAGCTGGGTGGGCGTGCGGCTGCTCGGAGAGTCAGCAGGGCCACAAAACCTGAGCGTGGACAATCTCCCGGAGATTTGTGCTGCTCAGCACAGGTAAAACAAATAAAGCAACCAAAAGAGAGATATATAAAAGAGGAATATTATAGCAAATATTTTAATGCCTTTCTATTAAGCACAGTCCAGGGTACTCCACCAGGGAAAGGGATATTGCAGAAACAGCCAGGGTCAAAATGATAAGCACAGACAGACCCTGATACGGAAATAGGCAGAAAGGTTTGCTATTCATATGTTAAAAGAGGCAGGAACATGATGTAAGTGTTATAAAATTATGGCTGGTCCTGCTAAGCCTCTGCAAGGAGAAAGGATTTAAGGTGTCCTGTCTCTGTGCTCGGACAGGACGTGTAGTAACAAGCTTAAACTGCAGCAAGGCATAGGCATTGCGGGGAAAAAATATCTATCTGAAGGTAGAGATTAAGGTAGGAATCGGTGACAGGGAGAGGCAACACTGGAGGGTTTTACAAACAGGTTAGATGCCTGTCAGGAAGTCTTTGATGCAGTGGGGCAGATGGGCTGCTCTCCGGACCCCTCTGACCCTCCCTGGGCTCACGGTGGTTGCTGCAGAGGCGATGCGTGACAGGGCTGCAGGCGAGCCGGGCTCTGCCCCGCTTTGGCGATCCCGGTGCCACAGCGGAGAGTAGAGAGCACTGTCAGTTGTGTCACCCAGCCTGTCTTGCAGTAGCAACACCAGGCAAATTCCCTGCTCCGGCCATCGAGGAAAGACCCCGGAGGGCAGGAGGGCTCAGTCTTTTTAGGGCTATGATTCTGCTACTCCTGTTATCCCAGGCTCCAGCCCCGAAGGGCCCTGTCTGCATTAGGAGAGGAGCTCAGACATAGGGCCACTGCTTGTTTCCTACCTCCGAGGTCCCTCTGGCTCCCTCCCCCAGCTGGCTGACCTGGGATGGGTGATGCTGGAATAGGGTGAGTTTGGCTCAGACAGGGCCAGTCACAGTTTCAAGCCTTACAGTCACCTGGAGTAAAAAGAACAGAGCTAAATCATGTGGTCCACACTGGGACTTTCCCCATTTTACAAAATTCAGAAAGATTTGGGATGGGAGAGTGGAGCCTGCTTCCCCCTCTCCCCCTCAAATCATGCTCAAGCATTATTCGTGAACGGAACAAGGTCAAGTCGCTTCCCAAAGACACTGCTCAGAAGAGGCTGGGCAGCTACACACCACGGCAGCCCTGGGCTTCCCCAGGACGTGCCCGCACCCTCCTGCCCAGCTGAGCTCAAAGGCAAGGAGGTGATGCAGGGATGGGATGCAACTCCAGTGCCTCCCAGTCAGAGCCAGGGAGACCAACTGGTCTCACTTGGGCTGCTCGTTTGCCAGCATCCAAGGCTACCAAAGGGAAGCCCCCAGCAGAACTAGAGAGGGGGCAGGCAGGTTGCCTACGCCAAACATTAGTCACCCCACAGCTTTTTAGTGTTTGGAAATCTGCTGGTGCTTCCCAGATTTGCGGGTGCACAGCCTGGGAGCTCACGGGAGGGCTGTGAGGCTGCACCCCAGCACCTGCATCAGCCCTGGGAGAGCAGCGGGTCTCCAGGGTCAGGGAAAACCAGCGTGCCAGATGGTACCATCGACTGTCAGAGGGCAGGTAGTCAGCGTGTTTCTTAAAAAAGGGGTAGGGATGCTTATTAAACGAGAAGGATCAAGTACTTGGGCTCAGGAACAGAGGGAAGGTGAAAGCAAGCCCTCCACAGGCTTCCTAACGCTGGCTTGTCCGTCCAGTGACTTACAAACGGTCGCAGCAGCAGAAGCTGCAACCCCCCCTCAAATGCGGGCACGGTCTGGGCTAGAGCCATTAGGAAATGGGGAGCTCTCCACCTGCCCCAGAGAGGGGACACGACCCACACGCTCGTACACACGGGCGTTATCACAACATGTTTGTTCCTCCAGACCCTGGATTCCAGAGGAGCCTGTTCTCCTGCCTCACTGCTGCCTGCTAGGAGCGTCACAGTGGCGTTCTGTCCTCAGCAGCTAAGCGAGGCATAAAACAGGCAACGAAGTTGAACCTCCTACCCCCCCTGCCCCAGAGAGGGGACACGACCCACACGCTCGTACACACGGGCGTTATCACAACATGTTTGTTCCTCCAGACCCTGGATTCCAGAGGAGCCTGTTCTCCTGCCTCACTGCTGCCTGCTAGGAGCGTCACAGTGGCGTTCTGTCCTCAGCAGCTAAGCGAGGCATAAAACAGGCAACGAAGTTGAACCTCCTACCCCCCCCCCCCCTGGTGGTGTCTCCATGGGTGGCAGAGACCCTAGGCCACATAGCGGGAGGGTCACAGGTCCAAGCTGCTCTCTTCAAGGTTCCTTGAATCCCCCCTCTCTTGGGAGATGGCAACGCAGAGTACAGATTTGAGAGAGCGCTTGGCCGGACCCCCCCCAGCCTCTGCCCCCACGTCAGTCAGGGCCTGAAGAAGCGTCGTACCACTAAATGCCCCACCATGACCAGGGCCACCACCACCAGCATGTACTTCATGTAAACATTGTCCAGATCAAGTGCAGCCACCTAACGAGAAACAGAGAACAACCAGAGAGTGTTAGATCTGCCCTGGCCAGGTTGCTGCTCTGCCTGCGCCCGGCTGACCCCACCAACCTCAGCAGTGCCCCTGTCTCCACGCCCCACCTTTCACCTGCCTCCCCGGTTCCCCCGCCGGGACAGCCCCGTGCCCTCGCCGGCTCACCCATCCTCCCTGCTGGGCGATCCACCGGGCGATGCGGTTCTGGAGCATGAACTCGGTGACGTAGCGGGCGATGCGGCAGAGGAAACCCGGTATGCCTTGCTGGTAGACGTGGATGGCCATGCGGTAGCCGAAGCCCAGCAGCGCGATCACCCGACCCCAGTTAATGCCGCTCTCGAACAAGCTGCAACGAAGCCGATGGTGCGGTGAAACCACTGCCCTGGCTCCGACCTCCCTCCTCTCTGCATCCCAGGACACGGGCTCTCAAGCAGTTGCAGTGCAGGGCTGGGGATGCTGCACTAGTCATAGAATCATAGAATGGTTTGGGTGGGAAGGGACCTTAAAGATCATCTAGTTCCAACCCCCTGCCATGGGCAGGGACACCTTCCACTAGACCAGGTTGCTCCAAGCCTCATCCAGCCTGGCCTTGGACACTTCCAGGGATGGGGCATCCACAGCTTCTCTGGGCAACCTGTCCCAGTGCCTCACCACCCTCTCTGTGAAGAATTCCTTCCTGATATCTAATCTAAACTTCCCTGATTTCAATTTGTACCCGTTACCCCTTGTCCTGTCACTACCGGCCCTTGTAAAAAGTCCTCTCCCAGCACCCTTGTAGCCCCTTCAGATACTGGAAAGCTGCAATGAGGTCTCCTCGGAGCCTCCTCTTCTCCAGGCTGAACAAGCCCAGTTCTCGCAGCCTTTCATCACAGGAGCGGCGCTCCAGCCCTCTGATCATCTCCGTGGCCTCCTCTGGACTCGCTCCAAGTGGTCAATATCCTTCTGATATTGAGGGCTCCACAGCTGGACGCAGCACTCCAGGTGGGGTCTCACCAGAGCAGAGTACAGGGGCAGAATCCCCTCCCTCGACCTGCTGGCCACACTGCTCTGGATACATAGTCCTTGAGGCGCATCCCAGCGCACAGACAACGTGGTTGTCTCGGGGCTGACACGTGGCCCCTAGTAACTAGGATGTGCTTTCAGAGCAGAACACTGCCACAACCAACGTTTGCCTCGGTCAGGTGGGTTAGGGATGTCCTAGGGAAAAGGAAACTTCCAAATCCTGCCTACACAGCTACAGGCTCCGAATTGCTGCAGGGGGAAAGCTTTGGGATGGTGATGGTTGAGCTGCCACCTCCCTGCCCATCCGGCCTTTCCCTCAGGTCTCCACCCAAACGCAGGGTACGTCTGCTGCGGGTAGGTGCTGTGTTTTCCTGGGCAGGGTTATTAAAGCAGGGAAACTGGAATTGGTGGTGGTTTCAGCTGTCGGGCTGTAGGCTGCAGCAAGCTCGGTAGCTACTGCACGTGCAGCCAGGAGCAGGAACTACCACCCACCTGTCCCAAAGCAGCCCTTGCTTGTGCCTGGAGGTAAGGAAGTTTAAAGGTATCTAAGGACAAAGCATGTTAAAACAGGATTTTCCCTTTTCCTGCATAGACAAACCACTTCAAGAGCAAAACCTGATCTGATCTTGCCTTAGACTGACACTCCTAAGGGCTCGGGGGTGGAGGGAGTGCTCCAAAATGTGCTTAGTCAATGCCTACTGCTCCTGATCCAGGTTTGGGTTGCTGTGGGTACGAGCTGCAGCACTGTCTGCAGGTCTGGCACTGATTTATCTAGACCAGTTTTTGAAGGCTTTTTTTTTCCTGGTTTCCAGCAAGGCAAGCAAGAAGAAAAAAAAAAAAAAA